CTCCTTACCTGAAGTGGATGCAAGATTCGCAGTTGCATATGGACTACCTGTATGTGCAAAGGAAGTGGTGTAGTTGGCTCCTGCATTTTGCTGTCCATCTGGAAGGCTAGGGCTGGGTGAATCTTTCTTACTCATAAGCTGTTCAAACCTCTCCAATTTTGTTCTCACTGCTGCTACTGCAATGGATTCTCAATCAGTTTGGGAAAGAGGGGCCGAAGAGTCTCTTGTAGTGGCTACATTTGCATTTCTCTTCTTGTTCCTTATCCGGGCAGGCATAAGATTTGGATTGCAATAATCACACACCAAGTCCTTCTTATCTTCCCTTGTAGTCTCACTACTCTCCCTGTCTCCATTCGGCTTAGGTTTTGTTGTACCAACCATAGCTGACTGGTCAACCCCAAGCTGTCTCATCATTACATTCCTCCTACTCTCCTCTCCAAAGACAAAGGCATAGGCTTGAGGGAGTGTCACACCCTCTCTAGAAAGAATACGCTGCCTAGTAATGTCAAATTCAGGGTTCAACCTTGCCAAGAACTCAAAAACGCTATTCCTCTCTACCAGTCTGTGATAGGTTGCTACATCATTTACACTTTCCCATACCACAGTTTCTAAGTGATCTATTTCTTGCCATATGGTTTTCAGCATGGTGAAATACACAACAAGAGGTTTTTCTCTCTGTTTCATACTTATCACCTGATTCCTTAATTGATAGGCTCTGGCTTCATTTTGCTTCTGAGAGTAGGTTTCAGTCACTCCATCCCAAATCTCCTTATGCAGTATTAGCCCATAGATAATTTTTCGCAATATGAGGTAACATAGAATTACACAGCCAGGACATTACCATGTAATTCTCTTGCACCCATTGGGAAGAGTCTGCATTAGGTTTCTTCTCCTCCCCAGTGAGATACCCTAATTTTCCACGGGCACCAGTAGCCATCTTAGTTGATTGTGCCCACTCCAAATAATTTGTACCATCAAGTTTTACTGTAGTAATGATCCCAAACCCAAAAATATCACTACTACCTCCAACACCTAGTCCCACAGTACTGGTAGATTTCATCTCGGTATTCCAACTCTTCATCTTACTTCAAACAGTTCAACAGTAAGAAAAAGTAGATTGGAGACCTTCCAAAAACAATTTAATATCACACACACAGAAACCAACCCTTCCGGAAGAAGAAAACCTTAATTGGAGAGAAATCTCTCTCCTCCCCACGCCTTTCAACAGAGAGAAGAGTGAATCGATCACTCCAGGAGGCTCAAAAAATTCCAGAAACCAAACAGCCCTCTTCAAAAAATCAAAAGAAAACTAACAATACCTGGGCGCCCAAGATCAAATAAAAAACAAAGAGTCCAACTTTTCTGGAACTCTTCCCCGTACTCCAATTCTTCCTGATTTTGATGCCGAACAGTAGATCACCTTCCTGATGACTAGATCCCACAAAAAAATCCAAGAACTGGGCAATCTATAGCAGGTCGATCAACCCTTTATTACTTCATGCAGTTGGCTGATCTAGGGCTGCTTGAGAATGCTTCAAGAAACCCTAGCCGATGCTCTGATACCAAGTAGAAATCTGCTGAATTAAAAAATATGAAAGAAAAGTAGTTTCTTGAAGAGAGAAGGAAGAGAGGAGAAGAAGAGAAGTTGAAAAGAAAAGAGAGCAATAATCTGGCCGTCCCTTCACTTCTTATTTATATTAAAAATAATAGAGCAGTACAAAGACAACTATGCCCTTATAGGGTGGCAAAACATAAAACAACATATATAAGACTCAAAAACATAAAACAGCAAAATTTGGACTCACCTTCTATCTAACAACTAACATAAAACATCTACTCAGAAAAACATCATAAAACTGATTAATCTTCAACAGAAACGACTTTGCATTCCTATGGGGGATCAAGGGAGTGGCTGGTCTAGTTTTCTCCAGGTGRCCCTGAAGTTGAGAAGGTGGCAACAAGATGGAGGAAACATCAGACTCAATGAGGTTAGAGTTAAAAAATTTTGCTGGGAAACATACGGAACTGGGGGGACAGATCAAACCTGTTAGAGGTTACAAAGATGTTTTCGTAAGCTCTGAAGACATTCTTATGCTAACCAGAAACAGAGAGAGAGCATGATTCTTGGTTTTCCAAAACCTTGCTACATCAAAGTGTGGGAGGAAATGTTGATCTTTGAGGTGGATGAAACAGAGAGAGCATGATTCTTGGGCACCTGTAGGCACCTAAATACTTGGAACCTGTGCCACGTGCCAAGGCAACACCACTTCTACCTATTGGTTGGACCTTAATGAATTTCTGCTCTCTTGTATTTCCTTTACTTAATTTTTGGTTTATCTCGATAATTATTTTGAAGCTAGTGAGGCTTTTGATGCTCCAATTTGAACAATGATGCCTTTTACTAATGATGGTTGATTTCATTGTTTTGCAGATGGCTGAATGCAGGATATCAATATATGGTAGAAAACAGAGTGAATGGGACCAACTAGCTAGTTGGATAGTGAATAATGAGCTTTACAGTGAGAATGTTGTTTGGTTAATTCAGGTATTTTCTGTCTCAGAGAAATTGTGCTATAGATACTTTGTTCGTAATGTAGATCAACGCTTGCTGTTATACCCCTTGTATATCCAATGACTTGGGTCTTTTATGGTTCAAGAATGTTTATCACATGTTATGTTTGAACAATTAATCTATGTCCTGTTATATAGTTCATGCAAATACTCTTACAAACTTACAATGGTAAATTGTTGATTGGTTTATTATCATTACATTATCTTGTTTTATTTTCTAGAACTTTTAATTAGTCTGCTTGTAATTGTTTTACATCTTGGGCAGTGTTGCAGAATGAGTAGCACCTTTTTGGTTAGGCTGTGGCTGGGGTTTTGAAAGCCATAAAGTGTAAGAAATATCTTTTATGGTTTGGTTAGATTTCTTTGAAAGCCACAACCAACTAGAAACTGAAGCTCAAAAAAGACCAAAAACAGGAAACTAAAATTGAAGTTTTTTCCAGTTTCTTGGATTGTGCTTCCAGTTCCTTCATCTCAATAGCATTGCTATTATTATTTTATTATTTAAAAGCCTTCATTTCTAAAACCTGGGAATATTTTTAACTCATCTGAGCTGACTGTTATTTTTTAGTCAATTAGAAGACACCTTTCCATCATTTCCTATTGTTGTTAGATCAAAAAGAAGAGTGTGGAGAGCAAAGTTACCAACGGGTTTACCAAGCTGTATCTTCATTTTGGAAGCCTAGGAGATCTTTTGAGTGTTTGGGGCCTTTGAAAGATCTTTGTAGAAAGATTGATAAAAAAATGATCTTTGTAGAAAGATTGATAAAAAAATGATCTTTGTAGAAAGCGCAATCAAACACCACCTTGGTTAAAATGGTAAAAGTGATAAATTAGAAGCTAACAACTAAAACTAAAGTAACTGGGAGCTTCTACCAAAGTAATAAATTGGGGGCTAATAACTTCAGCTGAATTGAAGATTTAGTTTTCACACTAGAACAGATTAAATTCTCATTGTTTCTATTGACCAATTATGTTAATGGTTGACAGGTACATAATTAATGAATCTAGGAACATTTTAAACTTATACATACAATCTCCTAGACTTGCATTCACTCTGTTGTACTTCCCTAGACTTTTGTACATTTCTTGAAAGTTAAGGAATGCCACATCTGATAAACATGTTATGAGGAAAGTATAGAATGGGCATGAAGAGGGACTGTGAGGGAGAGTATGTTGGAGCGGTGATGGGAAGAGAAAACGAAAAGGAGTTTCAGGTGGTGAATAGATGGAGGACTGGGTTGGATATTGAAGCAAAAAGGTTTCTTCTGGAAGGCGGAAAATCTAAAAGTAAGAATCTGCTAAAGGTAAGAGAAGGTAGAAGGGCGACACTAATTCTTTTTGAGGAAGCTGTTCACTGGTTGAAAGGTTTCATAGATGGAGTACTCCAGTCCATAAAAACCGTAGGGTGGAGGAATGTACTGGAGTTGGAAGAAAAAATATGAAGTGGAACTGAGATGGAATAAGAAAGGGTGGTTCATTACCATCATAGAACACTTCGGTGACTGAAAGCAAATGGTTTGTCTACCGGAAGGGAAGCAAAGTCAAGGCTGGCTGTTATTTGCGGTGGAGTTGCAGAGATTCCTTGTTGCGGCTAATCACCTGCAAACAGAACAAGAACAAGAACAGAGCAGCGAGAAGGATATCCCTGAGTCCTCGTTCCAGGCACTGAAGCAAAGATCTTTCAGCTGCAGCAAGGCCGTAGTGTTTCCAAACAGAGGACTAAAAGTTTGGGTTGAGGCTGAACTGGACAAATGGGAGAAGAAAATGGTGGTTTCCGCCAGTAAGGATGTTCAAGACTGGAGGAAGCTGTTGAAAGTGGTAGTGAATAATTTGCAGATAGACTCGGAGGTTACTTTGGAGCCATTTTCAAATCTGAAGGCAATACTAAGCATCGGAGATGGTGTTGACAGGGGATTTGCAGCTTTCAAGTGGGAAGAGGGATTGATTTATGTTCAGAAATGGAAACCCTTGTGTAATGAGGTGGAGCCGTTCAGAGGGAGCTTCACGCTGAAAATGTTTGGACTCCCGTTTCATCTATGGAATAGATTAATCCTAGAAAACCTGGTAAAAATGCTGGGGGGAGTGTTGGAAGAATGCAATCTGCAGGATCTTCGAGCAGTGGAGGTGAGAGTTAAAGGGGTGGAACCAGAATCGGTCCCAAAGGTGTTCGAAATCCTTGTAGATGATGTCTGGTATTTTTCATTAATAAAGATTTCTGTTATCGATAAAAAAAAATCCTTGTAGTGATGTCTGGTACAAAGTATGGCTGGTTTCAGAGCCGGAGGTGGAACTTTGGGGACGAAGAACCAAGGTTGAAGACGAAGGGGACGTGGCGGGTTCAATCTCACGTGGCAGACAGGTGTTGGCGGGCCTGAAGGCAGAGCGGCAGAGGCCTAAGGAGGTAATTGAAAAGATGCAACTGGAAAACCAAGACTCATGTAAGCCATTTAGAGAAAAAAATTTTAAAAATTTTGAAGCTTCTCGAAGTGGGGGGGCTCGAGCCTCTTTTGCTGACGTGGTCAAGAAGAGGGTTGGACCACATAATATGTTGTCGCAGGCCGAAGTGTCTGAACCTGTTGGAGGTGGGGTTGGGCCAACCAAAGTATCAGTCTTGGGCCACGTGACTGTTTAAGTGAGCACGTGGCCCAGGACAGACCGAAGGGGATTATAGACGCTAAAACATGTCTATTTTCTTCCTTTTCGAAGAGGAACTGTGTTGGAGGCTCTGTTTCGACTAGGCGGAAAGAGAAAACAGCTAGACCTCTGCAATGGGTCCCTAGATCTGTGCCTGGGCTCTCAAAAGGAAGCAACTCAGAGAAAGACCGTCCAAATCCTAGATATGTAAGAGAATGCGGCGAGGAAAAGGAAGGGGTCGATGAGGGCTGGGTAAACTGTCAACTGGAAGATCCAGATCTTGAAGAGGACTTGGACGACCAGTCCAGTATAGGCAGTATTGAGGTAGACCAGCTATCAGAGGCTGGTTTGGCAACAACCTTGAACCTTGGTACTTTGTTTTCAGAAGATACATGGGAAGGATATAATTCGGATCGGCTTCTACACCAGGAGAACAAGGGTGGGGAAGAAGACTATGATCTGGCTTTAGAAGTTCCTGTTCCAAAGCTTGATAACGGGCGGGAGCTTAGTAAGGAAGTATCCATGACTCCTCTGAAGCAAAGCAGAAACACACTAATGAGGGACAAATAGCTGGGTGTAGAGAGGGACCACTGTACGACGAAAGAGACAGGAAGGTTAATTCCACAGACCCGAGCCAAGGAGTTAGCCGACAACCACACCTTCTTCCAGGATTCGATTGCTTCTAATTCCAGTTCCCCTAATCCATTCCGGCTAAACCCAGGTAACAGTGTCCTTTCAGTTTTTGGTACTAATGGTTTCTCTGTGTCCTGTGTGCTAGATTCCATTCTCATTTCAGAGGCTGCAGTCTGTGTAGGAGGAGGGCCAGGTATTAGTTGCAGAGGTTGAGAGGAGTTAGAGAGGGAGCTAGAAAGAGAGGAGGAAGTAAATAGTAGCATCAGGTCTTTAGGAGACAGTGAGAATATGTTACCTGAGGTGGAGGAGAATAAATGTTTGAAAGAAGGGGCAGCAGAGGCTCGGTTAGGGTACAGCAAGGAGGAAGAAGGTACAGGTGGGGAGTTAGGCCAGGAAGATAAAACTAAAGAATCAGAGAAAAAAGAGCTGGCAAGTGAGGATTCTGTGGCATTATTTGAACAAAAACTGGGGTGTAAACTGAAAGATCCAAATAAGCTGAAAGGGTTCTTGCAAAAAAAGAGAGAAGAAGTCAAGGTCAGAAGGGGGAGAATGAGTGAGGCTGGAAGCAAGGTGAAGGAAGTGGCAAGTGACAAAGGCATTAGAACTAGAGGGGCTAGGAGGGGAGGAAGTAAGTGAGGGACAATGGTGTGAGGGGTGGATATAAAAAAAGAATAATGAGGATTTTAAGTTGGAATGTGAGGGGACTCGATAGTGCAAAGAAGAGAACAGTAATAAAAGGAGTCATCAGGAAAATGGATCCCGATGTGGTACTATTACAGGAAATGAAAAGAGCAGAATTTGATATCAAATGGGCAAGGAGTGTGTGGAGGAGTAGGGGGATTAGTTGGGCGGTTCTACCTTCATGGGGATCAGTAGGGGGTGTGCATTGTGGAAGAATGAGGTAGTGGAAGGTTTAGAGGAATTGGTAGGACAATTCACAGTCTCCTTGAAATTTAGGCAAGTGGAAGATGGATTTGAATGGGTATTAACCAATGTGTACGGGCCAAATGATTACAGAGAAAGAAGATTATTATGGGAAGAGCTAGCAGACCTAAGGGGTCTATGGGAAGGACCATGGTGCTTAGGAGGTGACTTCAATGTAATAAGATTCTTGGCAGAAATTAATAGTCCTAGGCAGAGGAGCACCACAAGTATGAGGAGGTTTAACCAATTCATTGAGGCCTTTGAATTAAAAGAAATCCCACTGTCACAAAGGTGTTATACATGGTCCAATCTCCAAACAAATCCAATTTGCTCTAAGTTGGACAAATTCCTATTTTCAAAAGATCTGGAAGAACATTGGGGAAATCTGAACTCTAGAGCACTCCCGAGGGTGACTTCTGACCATTGGCCTATTGTACTTTGTAAGGATGAGGTGCGAAATGCGAGTCCAGCTCCATTTAGATTTGAGAACATGTGGTTAGAGCACCCGGGGTTCATTGAGAAGATTGAAGAGTGGTGGGTAGAGAGCAATCCAGCAGTGGAGTGGTATGGGATGAGGTTTCACAAGAAGCTCTAGTATCTGAAAGGTAGAATCAAGGAATGGAATCTACTGGAATTTGGGAGATTGGAGGAAAGGAAACAGAATGTRATCACACAAATTGAGGACTTGGACAGTAGAAAAGGGAGGGAAGGCCTAATTGAAGAGGATAAGGAATGAAGATGGAGATTGCGGAAACAGTTAGAGGACTATATTTTTCAGGAGGA